ACATACATACATGTTGTTGGAGAAAACACAAAGCCCTCTATACCAACATCAAAGCTTCCTCCAAACTGTGAAGCATGGTGGAGGGAGTGTAAAAGCATGAGGCTGCTTTACTGCATCACGGACAGCACAGTCATTGAATTTGTGAATTACAAGCTGGTATTGGGAAATTCGAAAGCATAATAGCAGGCTGTCTACATGTGATCTAAGACCATCCCACCCAAACAGTTTTGCTGCACTGAACAGAACTATAAGAAAATCATATTGGGCACAGTTTGTAAGAGAACACTTTGCCATTAGAACGGCTACTGTCTATGTTCAAAACCAAGTAGTTGCATAATTTATAATTGACAAGGCAGAGTCCTGTCCTCAAGCTCGGTGAAATGCTAATATGAAGCAGGCCATTCAAACAAGCCCCACCAAGTGGTTCCCTAAACAACCTTTGACTAATAGGTGGATGTCTGGATTTAGAAGCCTAATCCAGAGTGACACAGCAGCATACTGGTTCTAAAAATGTCCAGTTTGAAACTCAACCTTGTTGTTTTTCAATCAGTTAAGCTTTTTGATTAATCTGATAAATGTCACACTCATTCGAGTATGTGTAACACGTGACAAAACCACATCACAGCTAGCAGTGCAGAAGTGATGCAAAGTCAGATTGATGGTGAGATAAACATAGCAGTACAGATGGATGACACAATGACATTTCTTGCATGCAGAAATGCTGAAGCTGTAGCAGCATTTGTAAGAAGAGCACCTACACCTTTTTGCCAAGTGTATGATCATGTAAGCTGTGTGAGTGGGCAACAGGGTGGTGTTAATGCACTTACGATCACAGTGGAAATATGCTCTGTTCATCCATTATCATGTCCACAAATAAGACCTGGTGTTACAAAACATTAACAGTATAAGAAGCATCTCCTGATTCTCCTCATTACATACAAATACAAAAAAGCCAATAAGGGGTTGTTTTTAAAGATTGTTGAAACTTTAGTGTGGCTGGATTATTTTCCCTCTTCTAAAATGAATGACAGACTGTTTACTCCATTTATCACTCCAAGTTTTAGCTTATTCAAAATTACCCAGGTTAAAAGTAATAGTTGTCAAGCACATGATACAGTCCTGAGGTCTATCAGGAGTAGCTGGTCACCTCAGCATAAGTGAAATATGTTCTAATGCTTTTAGATAAAATATCAGTTGATTCAGTGGTTGAGCTGTTAAAGTGTTCTGTATCAGTAAATTTCTGTGATAGACTCGCATAAACTTTTACATTTAAATGATTTGGACTTCTTGCCCTTTTCTCGTAACTTTATTGATTTCAGACATGAAATCATGATTTTACAAAGGAGATCTGGGAGTTGAATCAACTTATGGAAATTTAGTGTAGACTCTCAGCTTTACTTGATAAATGTTTGGTAAATGCAACTGTCTTGACTAAAACTCACATCATATATTTGAATATTGGGCGTGTCTTTCCACTTTCTGTGCCCTACCGTCTGTGTGTTGTCAATCAAGAAGTGTGAAGGCCAAAAAATAACAATAACTGACATCAAAGTTAATGTCGAACAATTAATTGGAAGAAGCTATGTTTAGATGATACTCATCAGTGTGACTCAGGTATGGCAGCAGAGCAGCCAGCAGAAGCAGAGAGATGAGAGTCATGGTGCTGTAGAGTGAGAACGTTCTCCTTGAAGAAGAAAAATAGAGAAGTGTGAAGAGTCCTCTCACCACATACATTGTTTCTCATAGTTTGCTGTGGTCTTTGAAGGGATTGCTATATACTTCTGGGTGTCAGTACGTGGTTACGTGGTTAAAAGACTCGAGTTGAGACAAACAAACTGCTAAATTAATTTCATATAAGTTTACGATCAGATGAGATCAGTGGCATATCTACGATCCTATAGGCCTTCATAATTTTACATATACTTTTCTCAGCGGCCTGTGACTGTTTCACCTTAGTAATTAACTTAAAATACTTTTTGTTTACAATAAGAAGTAGTTTCATACTTTTAAACTCTATGTGATACCAAATAGCTCACCTAACTAATACACCCATCCATGACAGTACTATAATCAGCTCAGTCAATTACACAGTCCAAATAATGCTCCATTCTGGACATGCATGACTGCGACTAGCTGTAAGGTCTGGACCTCAGTAGCTTCAGAACAGTTTTTTCATCTCCATTCATGGAATTCAGTGTAGAAACAGCACAAATCTGAATGCAGTAGCCTCCTCAGTTTTGTAGTCATAAGTATCACAGATCTACCCAGTCAAATGGGAGTATTTATTTTGTTGCATTTTTTAAGATAATGAAATTTGATTTGTTTTCTGTGAGCACTGTCACTGTATTATGGCCAGTCAAAATCTGCCAAGTTCCACCTTGTTTCCTCGGCCCTTCAATCTCTGCTTAGTAACCATTGCTATCCGCCATCTTCATTTTGTTCTCAGTGCTTGTCATGTTCGTAACTAACATGAGGACACCGAGGTCCTCGGACATAACGGAAGGATTTTATGTGATTCAGTGTGGAAACTGTGATGACAGTACACAGTGAGCAGTGACCAGTTCTCAACTGACCTCAGATCTCTCCATCTCTTATTCATTCTGTGAAATTGTGAAAACAAACCACAATGCTGTAGGCTAGTTAACTAAGTTGTTACTATATGTATCTGGTCTAATACTGTTTATTCGCTAACACTGTATGTGATTTAAGAAGTCCAGTCGAGTGAGAGATTAGGGGGTAGAGGGGTAGGGGGAGTTTTTTTCACATATCTTAATGGATGTGGCTCTGCTGTGTTCTAGTTTACTTCATCTTCAGAGAAATCTACTGGCTACTAGAAAATCTCCTGATACTCGTGGTGGGCACTCTGAGCCTTAAGCGCCCCGATGAATAAAAAACTTTTGGGAACTGGTCAGTGCAGACCACCTTGCAACGCAGGACCCTGTGTAACTAACCCGCCTGCCCCCCCTGGAGTTACACCACTGGATAATGCTTAATTACACAGTGCTGGGACAGGTGGGTGGCACAGCAGTACATTTAAAACAACACTTATAAATAAAGTCAGCAAATTTGACAGATTATATCAGAGGCAGTACATTTTGATATGATGTTGTTTTGTGTGAGTAGTTAACTAATAAAGGGGTACATAATATTCATATCTGCTCTCCGAACTTTCTTTTGCTGAAATTAAGAGGCAGCAGTCTGTAAAAGAGGCCGAGGGTCAGAGAGGGTAGGCTAAAAAATTGGTCTAGTTGATTTTCGCTTTTAGTCAAGAGCGCTCTGCAGCACACATTAAACAAGATTAAATTTAGTGTAGACTCTCAGCTTTACTTGATAAATGTTTGGTAAATGCAACCGTCTTGACTAAAACTCACATCATATATTTGAATATTGGGCGTGTCTTTCCACTTTCTGTGCCCTACCGTCTGTGTGTTGTCAATCAAGAAGTGTGAAGGCCAAAAAATAACAATAACTGACATCAAAGTTAATGTCGAACAATTAATTGGAAAAAGCTATGTTTAGATGATACTCATCAGTGTGACTCAGGTACGGCAGCAGAGCAGCCAGCAGAAGCAGAGAGATGAGAGTCATGGTGCTGTAGAGTGAGAACGTTCTCCTTGAAGAAGAAAAATAGAGAAGTGTGAAGAGTCCTCTCACCACATACATTGTTTCTCATAGTTTGCTGTGGTCTCCGACTAGATCCACACACCTGCAAACCTTCTCAGTTAATTTGAGTAGTCTCTCTCTCTCTCTCTCTGTCTCTCTCTCTCTCTCTCTCTCTCTCTCTCTCTCTCATCATTTGTTCATTTTCTTCCTTTATGTCTTTGTGCTTCCCCTCAGATAACGTGTTTATATGGCCACTGCATGTAATGACGGCACAGGAGGGCCAGATGAGGTTGCCAGAACCTTGCCTTTAGAGGGCCACATCTCAGCTACTTTTAAACCACTACTGCCAGAACTGACACACCACTCAAAACCATTAGTACAAAACCAGGCAATTATAACAACAGCCCTGTTGGGTGGGACTTCCACTGTCATACCAGATCCAGGTAGTGGAGGGTAGCATGTGCTTCATCCTCTTTAGTTTCTAGCTGCAAATGCTTAGCCTACTGCACCACTCTGGTACTCCTGATTACAAGCCCACATTGTCGTGTAGCTCATGTCACCCCATATCTGCTTTGAGAAATGTGGGCCATGTGAGCATTTTTAATATGCTGGCCTTTTAGGCTCACATGCAGTTTGCCAGTTTCAATGATAGGCAGTGCTGCCATATTTCTGCCAGAAGTGTCCTGATCTGTTTTTGGCACATGTGGACCAAATAAGCTTTTTTAATGTGGACCAATTTTGGCTTACATGCAGTTTGCCAGTGCTGACCATGGGCCAGCAGTGCTATATTTTTGCCAAAATTGGCCCACATCTGCCTGCTCTCTGGGCCAGTCTTAGACTTTGCCTTAAAACGTTTGCTTCAGATTTACATCTGAGCATTGTGTCCTGTTTGCACTGACTCAGGAATTCTTCATTATGTTGTTCCTTCTGAATCTCCAATGTATGCATCTCCAAGTCTTCATTAAAAGTAGGCATCAATGGTGTGCTCATCAACACTGTCTGACAAGCCTACTGTAATCCCATGCATGTAATGTAAGTTCACATGGCTAAAAAGTATGAAATAAATTATAACTAACAATACTGTTTTGCCAGCTTTGCTTTTGTTATCCATTGTCCTTCAGACTTTAAAAGGGCGTAGACTAGAGGAATATGAGATGGGTTTAGAGGCAAGTTGTCTCTAGATGTATAGCCTTGCAAGATTACCATTAAATCTATTTTTTCCTTCCTTGGTGTTTGACTTCATTTGTTACACTTTATCATACAGAATTGTGAGGATGACTTTCCACAGGATTTCTCATATACATTGTCATCAAAGAACATGCTTGAGAAATATGCTTGAGAAATGCTTTTATTGAGATGAAATTGTGGTGAATGCTTTGGTTTTCGTCAAATACAGATTAAACTTTCCCAATAATGGACTTGATCCAGGGCAGAAATGCAGATATTTTGGCAAAGACCTCTGGCTTCGTGGGTGCATCACACTTGTCCTTCTGACCGAAGGAAACAATGCCCACTGCAGTATTTCCACACACCAAAGCACCTCCAGAGTCTCCCTGTTAACAAGACAGAAATGAAACTTTAGTTATTTCCTTTAGTTTACTATTCAAAGTTGGGTCAACACAATAATCCAGACTGACCATTTTAATCATCCTATATTTTCCCATACCTCACAAGTCCCTCCAGGATGAACTGCACATATCATCCTTGGGGTCAGATCCTCCTTCCAGAGCTTCTTACATTCTTTTTCCGCCACAATAGTAATTTTGGTCTCCAAAAGACGATTGCTACCAGATTTGAAGGATCCTGTTTTTCCCCAGCCAGCTACACTGCAGACCGAGTTGGCCTTAATGCCCTCATTTGTTTTAGGGATGGAGATCCAGTTAACAGTTTTGCTCTGTTTGGCTTTCCCACGTAGCTGTGACAAGATAGATATTAGCTTAATTAGAAACAAAACTGCACAATGTAATGTGAAGCTCCACTCCTCCACAGTAACCCAGATTACACCCAGCTGACTTACACAGTTCATTTTCAGTTAGCTAACATTCAATTCTATTAGATGCTTCATCAACATCGTAAAATAATTTTTTAAGTTCTATTAATAATTTTAGTCCAAATGTTACTTAATTGGTTAATTTCTTGTTCAAATGGTATTGTTTTTGTGAAACAAGCTGAACAAGTAGCAATTTTGGGTCCAAGCACGTATCAGGTGAATGGAACTTATGAGGTCTAATGCAGTTTGGGCCTTATTTACAGACAAATTTACAATAAATCAGTCACAATACCTGACAAGAGTGCAATTTCTGTCATAACTTGTAATTGCAAATTTACTCTGGACAGAGAAGTGTATCAAAGGGCACTCATGATTTATAATATACAGTGGTGCTTGAAAGTTTGTGAACCCTTTAGAATTTTCTATATTTCTGCATAAATATGACCTAAAACATCATTGAGTTCCAATAATAGATAAAGAGAACCAAATTAAACAAATAAGACAAAAATATTAGTCTTGGTCATTTATTTATTGAGAAAAATAATCCAATATTACATATCTGTGAGTGGCAAAATGTTAACCTTTGCTTTCAGTATCGGGTGTGACCCCTTATGCAGCAATAACTGCAGCTAAACATTTCTGGTGACCATTGATTAGTCCTGCACATCATCTTGGTGGAATTTTAGCCCATTTCTCTGTACAAAACAGCTTCAACTCTCTCATTTTGGGTTTTCTCCCATGAACTGCTTGCTTCAGATCATTACACAACATTTCTGTAGGATTAAGATCAGGACTTTGACTTGGCCATTCCGAAACATTAAGTTTATTCTTCTTTAACCATTCTTTGGTAGAATTACTTGTGTGCTTAGTGCTGTTGTCTTGTTGTGTGACAAATGTTCTCTTGAGTTTCAGCTCATTTTCCTTTAGAATTTGCCGGTATAATTTAGAGTTCATTGTTCCATGAGTGATGGCAAGCCATCCTGGCCCAGTTGCAGCAAAATAGGCCCAAACCATGATACTCCCACCATCATGTTTCACATATGAGATAAGGTTTTTATGCTGAAATGCAGTGTTTTCCTTTCTCCAAATAAAACACTTCTTATGTAAACCAAAAATACCTATTTTGATCTCATCTGTCCACAAAACATTGTTTTAATAGACTTCTGGCTTGTCCACGTGATCTTTAGCAAACTGTAGACGGGCAGCAGTGTTCTTTTTGGAGAGCATTGGCCATCTCCTTGCAACTCTGCCATGCATACTATTGTTATTCAGTGTTCTCCTGATGGTGAACTCATGAACATTAACATTAGCCACTGTGAGACAGGCCTTTAGGTGGCTTAGAAGTTACCTTGGGTTTCTTTGTGACCTCACAAACTGTTACTGCTCCTGAATAAGGTTGATTGATTGATTGATTGATTGAATTGAATTAAATATTTGAATATTTTCTGTGTCCTTGAGCATTGTAGTGTAATTTTGTAGTGACGGGATAAAAATTCTAGTACTTCAAAAAGTGCTGTTTTTTAAGTTATCTACAGTGAAAAAAATGCATTTTCAAGCCATTTTTAATTAAAAAGTAATCTACATTAAATAAAAAAACATTTTTTAATATAAAGTTGTAAGCTTCAGTTACAAGAGAATTACCTCAGTCCAGTTTCATTTCACAGGGAGTTAAAAGGAGAATGAGATTTTATGTGACTGTTCAAAATATGAGTATTTAGTTTAATAGTTCAGAGGATGATAGAAAGTTTCCTTATAGATATACCATTCCAGTTTCATTTTGCATGGACAGTGTTATGCCTGTCAAATACATGCCCCCCAATACCACACTAATGCTAAAATTGACAGTGTGACCTCAGAATCATCTGTCACATAAGCATCTTAAGTTTCATCAGAATTGGATAAAGCATTCATGAGTTATTGCTGTCTCGGTACATCTTGATCCAATCTAGAAGGGTTAATTAACATGTGGCAGCAATATTTTCAATATATCAACATCAACAACAACATCACCAAACTAGGTGTTGAATGATAGCTGTAATTAACTGGCCTTTCTCAAGGAGAGGTTTCAAAAGGGTTAAATAAATACTCTAAAATACATAAAAGTACTACCTATTGGATTAATTGTATATTTGTATTTATGCCACAGAGTTTTTCTTTTACTACAGAAAAATAGTTCTAATTTCTGGAAGTTCGACAAACCTACACACACATGAGCAAGCAAATGTAACTTTGTGTCGCATCTAAAAAAATCGAATCTAAATTATTTTCTTTGATCTGAAACAAAGTATGAGTCTTAAGTTTTATTCGCTAGTGTGAGGCTTTTCATAACCTGCTAATGCTCACACTGTAAAGAAGTGCTGTAAATTGTCAGTGGAAATAAAGCAGTGATCTACTGCATTCCCCAAATACAGAAGATTGCAGTATAAATGCTGCATTCTGGGAGAAACAGGTCAAACTTCTTGCCAAAGAAGGTAAAATGTTGGATTTTCCAGTAATTTACTGTTTTTGCAACTTTAATACACTGGTAGTCAGCACTACTTTGTGTCTTGAGTCTTGAGTCTGTCTCTGAATATTGTAGTAATTGGGGCGGAAAGTCTTTGCCATTCAGTTCACTTCATGGAAGGTCATGTTATGTTATTTCATATATTTCACACTTCACATTATAAGGTACTTTCATTATTTTCAGTCCATTTTACATAAACTAGTCCCTAAAAATCAACACAGTTCATTTATTTAATTTTAACATGCTTTCAGTTTGTATTTTTGACTTGCATTTTACTTAACTTTAACAATGTTAGCTGCTAGAATTACTGTATCAACCAAATACTGTATACTATATATTGCTGTTCTGGTTGCTACCTCAGTGACTGCTATGCTCAAATATGGTAGGCTATCTGCTTAGCTGCTAGTATGTTACATCCTCCTTTGCACAACTCCACATACTCTCAGTACCGTGTAGTGCCTGTGTTCTGTTTTGTATTTATTGTAAGTCTTTCATATTTATTTATTTATTGTACTGTATTGTCTGCACTGTGTATATTGTATTGCCTCGCACTTGTGTTACTGTGTTGCACCATGGTCCTGTAGGGATGCTGTTTTGTTTCACTGTATACTTGTATGTAGCTGAAATGAAATAAAGTCTGACTTGACTTGACTTGACTTGACTTGACTTGACTTGCCACAGACGTGTGATCCATATTCCTGAACAGACACCATGTAGGGTCTGGAGTGAGGTTTAGCCTCTGTGCCATTTATTATACCAACATTAACACTGGCTGACAGAGAAAGATTGTGGAGGAGTTATAATCATACTCAGTGTAAATTACCTTACTACTTCTACTTAGACTGATTTATTCTATAATTTATGCATCTGAAAATTACATGTGAGAATTCTGAAAGGCGAATAACAACTCTAACTTTAATCAAACTTTAAATGTAAGAACAATTCAGAGAAAGTAGGTATTTTAGAATGACGCTTACCAGAGTGGCTCAGATACGGCAGCAAAACAGCCAGCAGAAGCAGAGAGATGAGAGCCATGATGCTCTTTGGAGAGAGTTTGATCTCCTTGGAGGAGAAGAAGAGTTTAAACAGAAAGGTGGGAAGAGTCAGTTCACCACAAACGTTCTTTCTCACGGTTTGTTGTGGTCTTATTGAACTCTGTGTTATCTGATAGCTGGTTCATGGTTATGTGGTTAAGAGTCTTGACTCGAAAAACAAAGTGCGGAGTGTATTTCACACAAATTTAAGATAAGATAAAACTTCGTTAACCACTGCAGTGAAATGCAGGTGCAGCAAAAAAAAAAAAAAGTTGCATTCAGTACATCATTAACAAAAACAGTCAGCAAGTATTACAGAATATATTAGGGCTGATTCCAGAGCCTTTTCATCTCAGACCTCCTGAAAAAACTTACTTCCTAAATCCTTTTCCAAGTCTATTGTCCCAAAAATATAGTTTTAGTTTTAATACAGTGCTGCAGTAAACAACCAGCAAACTATTCTTTGAGTTCTCCTCATCTTTTTGCACTTTCTTGGTTTTAGTTATACTGAAGATGCTGATGTGAAGCTTTTCATAACCCTCTGATGCTCACACTATAAAGAAGTGCTGTAAATTGTCAGTGGAAATACTGCAGTATCTACTGTATCCCTTAAATACAGATAATTTCTGTATAAACGCTGCATTCTGGAAGAAACAGGTCAAACTTCTTGCCAAAGAATTTAAAATGTTGGATTTTACAGTAATTTGCTGTTTTCTGCAAAGCAAATCGGTAGAGTCAGCTTGAGTCTGTCTCTGAATTCTGCAGTAACCAGAGTGCAGCTTCCTTACAGTTTTGTTGGTTTTGTTCATTTGCTTTATGTTGAGGGTCAAATTGACCCATTTCAAAGTTTAAAAATACAGGCAAAAATTTGATGATGGACTTATGGCTCATTTAAGGGTTAATTTTGTCAAATACAGTTCACTTTATGGAAGTTTTTTCTTTTAGTCTTTTATTCTTACCCTAAAAAATCTTATTAAAGTCTTTTATATTTTGGTATTCTAACCATGATGATGTGCCAGACGCCAGTTAACTAATAAAGGGTTACATAATATTTCTATCTGCGGAATTTCCATTGCTCAAAAATGAGAGGCAGCAGTCTGTTAAAGGGCCGGGGGGCGCAGAGGGTGGGTTGAGAGTTGGTCTGGGGGTTTCTTTTTTAATCAAAAACACCCCGCTGATGTAGATGTTTTTGTGATGAACAGGTTTGAGCCTAATTCAAGAAGGTGTGTTCCCAAATGTGTGTGACTTGGCTTTGATCCCACAATGGCTTTTATGAATCTTTAATTGAAAGATTTTTAAATAAATTAAGAAGAGTATATTTCAAAAACCTTTAATATTCTCAGACTAATACTTTAAGATAAGAACAACATGAATGCATGCTTCATGGAGTCTTGTGTGCAGTTTCAGGTCAAGTTTTTTGTTCTGCCACAACACACACAGTTGCAAAGAGAGCAGTGTCTAGGCTCACTCCTGTGGTCTCAGTATGAGTAAGCGCAGACTTTGGGCAGCCGTTGTGTTCTGTGTCAACGAGACTCATCCAACTCAGAAAACTACATTCTACAGATGAAGTGCAGCACTAATTACTGCTGCACTAATCTGTCATGAAAACTTCGCATGCAAACTATAACACTAAAACAGCCTCATTAGATGATAAAGTGTTTAGAACCATCTGCTGCCATTTATGTGTTCTTGGAGGTGGGTAGTAACTAGCTTCACTACCCATTCCTGATGTTGCAGTGCCTCTTGGATATGGCATAACATGATTATATTGCTTGGGCAATATAATATAATATAAATAGCTTTTAAACCCTTAAAATCCCAGGCTTATTACAGACTAAGGCTTATTATTCAGTAACCACAGGGGCTTCAATGCAAACTGGCTGAGCTACTCTTTGATTATAGAAGTGTGTAATAAATCTTTGGGCCTGCCAATGGGCCCTGGCCATGTAAGGGCTTTAATATATTATTATTAATATTGTTGTTCTTTTTATTATTGGTTGTTGCTGTATATGCCTATCTATGTAAGTATGTCTACACATACAGGCATATACTAAAGTTTGAACACCCCTGGTCAAATGACTAATATTATCCTTAATGTTTTACTGATTTTCTAAGTAAAATAATACACCTTTGACAGACAATGCCCTTAAATATGGATTTTTTTCTGCATATTTTGGTGCACAATTTTTATTTTATTACTGATATTTGTCAACTTTTGCACACAACACTTTTAGCGATTCATTTTTTATTTATTTTAATTTTTTTTATTTTCAAATAGAACATACAATGTCTACATGGCCATGGGTGCATAAAATGCAGAGCATCTTGATACTCAAAATATGCAGAAGTGATCTGGAAAAATGGTGTATGACAGTACATTTTTATTTCTTCCCTTTCCCTTTTATGTTTTATTTTTTTTTCTTCTCAATTTATTAAATTCAGCAAATAAACAGTAATTGTGTTTTAAAAAGTGTATTCTCAGTAGAGGATGTGATCAATGAAAGCTTTAACGCAAGTTCTGCCAGGAAGACTCCAATGCTACGTCACTCATTACTCTGACCAATCACAAGCTTCCACCTGTCTTTAAAATGACTCGACTTACACACCTGCTGTGCTGCTTTCAGATGCTGACGTTTCGTCGTTCCTTTTCAAGTCAATTCCCTTGGTGTTGCTACTCGCAAGTATTCTGGCAAGAAGCGGCTTGTTTTTGTCTTCTCCTCATTGAGATCTGGTTGCTAGTGTGAACGAATGCTTTCCTCTCGAGCCGTTCTCCCTGTATCATGCCTCTGCTGATGATGCTATCTGGTTTATTAAGGTTGCGGGTCGTGGCGCTCTGCTGGCTAAAGCAGATATTACGGATGCCTTTAAAATGTTGCCTGTTCACCCATCGGATTGGCCTCTTTTGACGTTAAGTGGGAGTCTTACTTTCGGTTGCAGGAGTAGCCTCGTATTTTTGATTGTCTTTCCGAGGCTTTGTGTTGTTCCTGTTGAACGTCTGTGACTTGCCTTTCGTCCTCCATCTCTTGGATGATTTTTTGCTCGTGGACTTACCGTCTTCTCGTCGTTCTGTGCTATATGTCCTCAAGGGCTTTTTTGTGAATTGGGCGTTCCTCTCTCTGCTGAAAAGACTGTCCTTCCACCAGTCTCGAATTTCTCGGCATCGTTTTGGATTCTGCTGAAATGCGTGCGTCTCTCCCCACAGATAAGCTCACTAGGATTAGATCGGTTTTAGGAGCTTTTCTCTCAGCTTCGTCTGTTTCTAAGCGTGACGTTCTCTCTCTTCTCGGTCTGCTCAACTTTGCTATGCGCGTCGTTCCTCAGGGTCATTCTTTTATTTCTCGCTCTCTCGGTGGTTGATTTGTGTGATGTCGTTGCCCTTGACGATGGCTGCCGGTCCAATCTGCGGTTCTGGTCTCGACTCCTCGAGCAATGGAACGGCATCTCCTTTTACTCCGACGTGGTTGAGTGCTGTGACTCTCTTGCTTTGTTCACTGACGCCGCTCCCTCAGTTGGTTTTGGGGGGGTGCTTCCAAGGGCAGTGGTTCACAGAGAAATGGCCAGCCGAATTCTCTGAATTTGCCCTTGGATCTGCTTCCTCGGCACTGCACGAGATTTATCCCATCGTCGTCGCTAGCATTCTGTGGGGTGAGGCTTGGTCACGGAGACGTATTAATATTTTTGCGACAACGAAGCCGTGGTTGCCATCATTAACAAAGGAAGGTCATCATGCAGCACTTAGACGTTTAACATGGCAGTCGGTCATTCTTAACTTTATTGTGACAGCTGAACATATTCCTGGCCATTTTCGATCTCGTTTACAGGAGTTCAGACGTCTCTGCCCCTCGGCCTACATGGACCCACACCTTGCCCTCTTTTCACCCTACTCATTTTGGACTAAACAACTATTGTAACGCCTTGCTAGATTCAGCCAAACATTGTATGTCACAAGGCTTAGCCCCTTCCACTCTTAAAGCTTATAACTCCAAGTGGACTTGGTTTGTTCTGTTCTGTCTTCCACTACAAATTCCGATTTTTTTCCATACTCATGACAACAGTTTGCACATTAATCGTTCATAATTATCAGACTCGCAATCTTAAAGCCGCTTCAATTTGTGAATGTTAGCAGGTATCCAATTCCATGCTAGATGTAATGACCCCGACTATCCTAGTTTATTCTCCGACCCAGCTATCCGCTTGCTTCTTAAAGGTTTAAATAAATCACCGCAAGTTTCAGATAAACGTTTACCCATAACTCCTGAAATACTGCAGATGCTTATCTCTGCTCTACGCGAAGGTCTTTTCACACCTTTCATCAACACTTTACTTGAGGCTGTTTTTCTCATGGCTTTTTATGGTTTCATGTGTCCAGGGGAATTCACTCTAACACTGTCATTCGATCCCACACGAGGTCTCACACTGTCTGATATACGTTTCTCGCCTCACTTCTTTACTATCTTCCTTAAGCACTCTAAGACAGACTTCTCTGAAGCTGGTGTTTCTATTAAAATCTGTAGACTAAACACCTCTTTCAGTCTCTATTCCTCTATGACCCGTTATCTGAAACTACGCCCACCTACTCTCAACTCACCTCTGTTTATATTATCAAACAGCCTTCCTATGACAGCACAATAGTTCAGGGAACACCTAGCCTTCATCATAACATAATGTGGACTGTCCTCATGCATGTGAGGGCCCGTCGCCCTAACGAACGCTATGCATGCGAGGGCACGTCACCCTAAAGACCGCTATGCATGTGAGGGCGCGTCGCCCTAACGAACGCTATGCATGTGAGGGCGCGTCGCCCTAAAGAACGCTATGCATGTGAGGGCCGTCGCCCTAAAGACGCTATGCATGGGAGGGCGTCGCCCTAAAGAACGCTATGCATGTGAGGGCGCGTCGCCCTAAAGACCGCTATGCATGTGAGGGCGCGTCGCCCTAACGAACGCTATGCATGTGAGGGCGCGTCGCCCTAAAGACCGCTATGCATGTGAGGGCGCGTCG